AGTCGAATCGAGTTCTGTAAACAAGGGATTTTCCAAGGGAAAATCGTTGAACTCACTTTTGTGATTGAATCATCAATTCAAGGCAAACATTAATCAAATAGGAACAATTTCACTCAAAGTATACCTAGACACAGGAGAACTATTGTCGTGAAAGTGTTGTACAGTAGATTACAAATTTAGATTGCAGAGAGTTTGTTCTGAGCGCTAAAGGCACTCACGATGGAGCACATTTTGCATTATTCTAACAGGGTCATACGGATTGAAAACAAATCCCTTTGCCTCCAAATCACTTCGAAACTGATTATAGAATAGGAGGCTCGATTGCAACATCCCATATATAGCACGTAGTACCTGCACATAGATTACTCGCTTTCCGTTCTCCAAAACAATGTATTTGCAATACTCTGGGGCCATGTCAATCAATATCTGGATCATCATGCCAGTGATTTTCATGTAGATAGGATCTTCTCCTTTCTTAGCTTCAGGCATATAAGTTTGAATGAAAGTGTTAGGCACGTCCATCATCATTATATCTCTACCTTCGTGTGCATCAATAACACAAGTAGTGGTGATTGCTTCTTGCGAAGCAGTTGGACTTGCAGTGTCCTCTCGCGATAACCATTCACGAGTTCCATCGCCTTGGTATACTAGGCGACCTTTAACTGTCTTTTCGAATTGCTTTTCCGCGAGTAACATCATTACTGATTGCCCAGATCGAGTGACTTTTGCTAATTGAGGCTCTTCACGCTCAAATACAATCTCTTCTTCTGGGGGTTCTTGTAGATCCTCCAGATCAGTAACGAGGCTTCCAATATCATTGGTTCCTCTATCGACATTTTCTTGATGGTGATCCAAATCGGCCACAATAGGTTCTTCCTCTTCATCGCCTTCAACACCCAAATCGTTGTCATCTGATTCATAGTCATCATCCCCTTGGAATCTGACAGTGAGTTCCGGCATATCGTCGACATCATTGTCTGCATCTGCCAAGAGCTCATTTCTTTTGGAGTCATCGATATCATCGAATTGTCCACGTAAGTTGAAATCACGTTCATCTTCTTCTTCAGGTTCATAGTCCTGATCGAAGGCTTCCTCTAAGTAACCTTGTTCCGTGTCATCCACTCCTGCAATTTGATCGCCATCTTGAAATGTCTCCAAATCTCTCTTCTTATCAAAGAACTTCATGGAAGTAACACCTTCGGCAGCAGCCCAAGCTTCAACACGCTGGATTACTTGATCGGTAACGGGTAGTACGACAACCTTG